ATTATCCACATTTTTGGGCCCCAGTCATACTACACATGAGGGGATGTGTTGTGTGTATATCCCGCATGGGAAGGCAAAGCCTTGATTTATATAATGTGGAATGTTCTAGGCCTATGCATCCGTGGCCAATTGGTTTTGGGTTGCATGATCAATCAGTCTTGTTTTCTCTTATATTCAAAATATGCATTCACATTGTGGGCCAAATAGGAATACACTTACTATGAACATTCTTACTTGTAGCTACGGACCTAGATTTCATCATCATCGTTATCATAATTGTATTAATCTTCATGACCGAACATATACCTAATTTGTGATTTTATCAATTAGTCTGTCTTCCGCAGGAGCATTTGCTTCTTGTGTTTTTCTGTTTCTCTGAGACTTGATATTGTAGCTTTTTTATTTTTTTCTTGCCTTTTTTGCCGAACTTATTTTCTTTTGAATTTGTTTATCTGCATTGGCTTTACCCATTTGGTAATGTCTTCAAGTATATTAGTTTAATGAAAGAAATAAGTTCAATTTGATGAAGCAATTGGAATCTGATATCTAAAGTGATGTATATATTTAACCATTTCTTACATGTTATTTTCCTTTTTGTCCGTATCAGGAAATGCTCATGAAGGAGTACCAAAACTTGAAATTCAAACAGCCTTATGAGCAGGCTATGAATTACACCGCATTAATTCTACATGATCATACTTCTCCATGGATGGAAGAACTTGAAGCTCTTCCTCACCTTCAAGTTGAAGATCTTGCTAAGTTTGTTCCTCTGATGCTCTCGAGGGCCTTCTTAGAGTGTTATACAGCAGGTTACCTTTTGTTTTCCTTCAAACAATTTAGGTTATATCCATTGTTATCTTGATTTTAGTTTTCTCTTTTTTTTATTTTTTTATTTTATTGTTATTCATTGTTATTCATTGTTAGTTATATGCTTTTGCAGGAAACCTTGAAAGGAATGAAGCTGAGTCAATGATCCAACATATTGAAGATGTTTTCTTTAAGGGCTCAAACCTGATTTCCCAACCTTTGTTCCCATCCCAGCATTTGACGAATAGAGTCATGAAGCTTGAAAAGGGCACGAACTACTTCTACCCTGTGGAAGGCCTTAATCCGAGTGATGAGAATTCTGCCCTTGTCCACTATATCCAGGTTCTTAAATTTGTTTACAGAAGGAATAAACTAGATTTTGTTGGATGGAAGTTTTCATTTTATACGGTCTCGTTCAAAATTCACAAAACCTTGCAAGAGTTCCTACAGAAATGTTTTAAACCAGTATCTTCTCTGGTTTTTCTTCAAAATATTACAGAATAATTTTCAAGAAATTTGAATATTACTAGAGCTGCGACCTCTAAATCACAGTGTTATTTTGTTTGTTTTTAAACACAATTGTCTTAATATGTGTAGGTTCATCGGGATGATTTTATGCTGAATGTGAAACTTCAGCTGTTTGCTCTTATTGCAAAGCAGCCTGCCTTCCACCAGCTTAGATCCGTTGAGCAACTTGGTTACATCACGGCCCTCGTGCAGAGGAATGATTTTGGTATCCGTGGGGTGCAGTTTATTATACAATCTACAGTGAAGGTATATAACCATGCTTCTATTATTGTTGTCCTGTTGCTTTATCCCTGCCTTACCAAAGTACGTTATGTTGATCTTAACAGGATCCAGCACATATTGATTTGAGAGTGGAGGAATTCCTCAAGGGGTTCGAGACTAAACTTTATGAGATGCCAAGTGACGAATTCAAGGTAAGATCAATTAGACTCTATCCTTAACTCCAGTTGTGTAGTTTTCAAGTTTTACCACATCTTTTTTGCAGCTTTAATCTCTTCAGTATGGAACATCTTTAGACTTCCTTAAAACTTCCAGTGATACCATTTTTACCTTGCATTAGTCTGTCTGCCTTGTTTATTATCCACACCCATATCATCTTCGCCCTTCCATCAGTCTTTTTTTGTGATGGTTCATGTCCCCATTTACAGATGGTAGATATCTTTCAATATCAATGTTTAATCACTTCTAGATAAAATGTGAACCCGAAAAAGAAATTTTTTTGTTGTAGGATGTCTATTTTTTTCCTTTTCGTTGTAGGATGTCATATATGATTTTTCCCCAATAAATAACTGTTGAACTGGTTGGTATGTAGAGCAATGTAAATGCTTTGATCGACATGAAGCTTGAGAAGCACAAGAACTTAAGGGAAGAAGCTGGATTTTATTGGACGGAGATTTCTGATGGGACCCTCAAGTTTGATAGGAAAGAGTCTGAGGTATGAATATCTCCCTAATTTGAGTTCAATTTTTTTAGATGCTTATACAATTCGAGATGATCGATGCCTTTTATTCTTTTCAGTACTGGGATAAATGTGCTTGTGTTAAAGTGATTATAAACTAGGTAGCAAAAAACCGTAAATTACAAGCTGATCAATATAAATTAAAAATGTTTAAGAACCGTTGGAACGAAATAGAAATAAAGCAGGAAAGAAAATGTGTCCCCCTATTAATGGTAGTGTTGATACTTGAAACAGATTGCAGCACTGAGGCAGCTTACGCAGCAAGAATTGATAGATTTTTTCAATGAGCATATAAAAGTTGGGGCACCTCAAAAGAGGTCATTAAGTGTACGAGTGTACGGGAACTCACATTCATCCGAGCACACTACGGATGGAAGTTCACCTGTGAAACCTTGCTATGTCAAAATCGACGATATATTCAGCTTCAGAAGGTCACAGCCTCTTTATGGTTCATTCAAGGTAAATCATGTGAAATTGTAGAGACTTGCGAATGGAATCGCTTCAACTTTGACAAAATTGTCAAAGAATAGCATCGGTTGCAGACAGCAGATTTGGCAGAAAGATCGCCCAAGAAGTTCATCGACAAAGCTAGTACCGTATGTCAAAATGATAAGGAATTTGATATTTTGAATTCCATTTTTATCTTACATTTGACCTTGTAACTTAAATAAGTCCAAAATGAAACAATAAAAGAGAAAGGCATTGTCTTTGTCATTGAAGCTGCTTTATTTGTATATTCTATGTTGAGAATTATTAATATTTGGATTCCAAGTGGCCAAAACTTAGAATATTTCTTTCGTTATCTGTTTATCCAATTAAGAGATTCAGAATATGCAGTTTGTCATACACAATGCATTTATAATGTATGTAATATTTTTCTTTGAGATGCAGACGCTTAAGGCTATGTTTGGGGGAATAGGATCCTCTCCGGATTCTCTTTGTGGGGATTCGGAGGATCAATGAATCAAGTTCGTTCATCGTACATCGTGCGGTTAGAAATCATTTTAAATTTTTTTATTTAAAATTAAATATAAATAGTTTTTAACGAAAGTTAACTGCACGATGTACGATAAACGAGCATGATTGATTGAACTCCGGATCCTTAAACAAAATGTTAAATAGAAGAGACAACCCTCCACGAGCATTATAAGGGTATGTGAGAGATTTTCAAATGGCTCCTTTCAAGTAAAGATTTGTATCGCCTTCAATATTCAATTTGTATCGCCTTCAACATTCAAACTTCCCGGTAAACATGAGACGACTACAAGGGACCAAGAACCTTTCATCTCAAACTTGTGGCCCGAAGTACTCTTGCAATGTTTTTCTTTCTTCTGAATCATTCATGTCACCAACACACACAATAAAGGCCCTAAATTTGTTCTTAGTGTGCTTAACAAATAGAGTGAGATCCATGTTGCTATGTCTATATTCAATGCCTTCCTACATATGACCCTCGCAAACCAAGCTCCAGGAGATTGCTTCAAGTCATACAAAGACTTCCTTAGTTTGTACACACCTATCTAGTCTTTCCATTTGCATATTACACCCAGGTTACAATTTCATGTGTACTTCTTCAAATCTCCATGAAGAAGGCATTCTTCATATATCAGATCATCGATGCAGTCACCAATCAAGATTTTACTGACATAAACTGCAAGACACAAATGGCTTTATGTAGTTAATTTCTTAAGTCTGCGTCTAGTCTAGCTTAAATCGTTCAACAGTTCCATCAGCTTCATACTTGGTGTAAATTCACCGGCATCGGATACCCCACAAATTGTTGAATAAACCCCACATACTTAATACACCCCACATTTACTTTTTCAATTAAAAATTATCTTTATACACCCCATATACCTCTCTATAATACCCTCACACTCCACATTCTCAAAACACACATTATCTATATACTAAAACCCAGTAGAAAAGCACTGTTCACGAGCAGTGTAATGGCTAAAATGCCCCTGATCTAACGCTCACTTTTTTGGCATTTTGAAGATGCTACATGAAATGTCGTTTTTACCCCTTTCCTTTATCTTTTTTTTTAACCCGCGTGTTGCTCGGCTTTGCCGTTTGACCCTTTTGATTCTAGGTATTTGCTTCCTTTTTCTCTCCTGACTTCCCCTCGCATGCTTCCCTGCAATCCCTGTCGCCATCTCACCTTCGATCCATGTGGCACAAAACACAATAAAAAATTATAAATAAATTAGATGCATGCACAAAATAATTATTAAAATTTATGAGAAGCCACCTGTCTCTCATTGCTTTGCCTTTTGGTTATTTTATTTTTAGGTTTTGCTTTTTTTTTTGTCTTCCACTCAGATCCTGCAATGGTTTGTGGCAAACAACACATTAAAAAATTATAAAAAAATTAGATACATGGACAAAACAATTATTAAAAATTGAGATATTTATTGGCTTTTTCTCTCCTGACTTCCCCTCGCATGCTTTCATGCATCACTGTCATCTCGCCTGTTGGGAGAAGGTGAGAATTAATTGTGTCACGTGCTCTACCTGTGTGCGTCGTTTTTTGTGGGGAAGGTGCTCGCAGGCTCTTCCATTTTCTTCCGTTGCTTTTCCCTTTTCTTCCTCTGTTTCTGTGTTTTTCCCTTGGTTTTTTTATAATTTTTTAGTGTTTGATGTGCCACAAACTATGTGGCCTGATTTAACTTCTATTTTTTATATAATTTGTTTGTCCTGCCACTAATTTTTTAATTATTATGTTTTCTCTCTCTCTCCCGTATATGTTGTTGCTTAGCCTTTGTTTGTTTTAATTTTTGGTTAGACTCTGCTTTTGGTACCTCTAGCTTCCACGTGTTGATCATCGTGGGGGGTTCTGTTCAGAGGCTGGTTGTTTTATTTTTTGGCTGGAAGCATCTTCCACTTTCCACTTTTCACTTTCCTCTTCTCTTCTGTCTTTTTCCTTTTCTTTTGCTCTCTCTGTATCTCTCCGCCTGTCTTTCCGTTTAGATTTCGATCCGATCGTCTAAAAAGGTAGTTCGTCTGTTTTTTTCTTCTCTTTTCCAGAAACCAATCGCACCGTTTTAGGTGCGTTGCTTCATTCGCTTCTTTATTTTCTGTTTGGATAGCAAGAAATTTTTTGAATTGATTAGTGTAAAATTCAAGTCTAGGCATTTTGTACCGGGTGTTTTCTTAATTTTTTCGTACTTTGTGTATGGTTGTTTGATCTGATTTCGTTTTTGGTTGCAGGGAACATTAGTCTTTGAATTTTAGGGTTTTATTGTACGAGCTTGCAAGCCATTTTTGGGTGAGGTATATAATTTATGTTTTGTTCTTAAATCTTTTTTTTAACAAAATTTTTAATTTTTTTGGGTCCTGTTTCGTTTCTGGTTCAATTTTATATTTTTATTTTTTTTATAAAAATACAAAAAAAGAACAATACAGATGATGAATTTTTACGGTTTCCTTTGTCTGTTTGGGTTTTTAGTGTGGGTGTGTGATTTGGTTGTTTTAATTTTCAGGGAGAAGTGTTCATCGTTTATGTGTTTGGATTTTTAGTGTGGGTGTATGATTTAGTTGTTTTTTATTTCAGGAAACGTTGCAAGCCCTTTCTGATTAAGGTATATGATTTATGTTCCTCCTCTTAAATTTTTTGTTGAACAAAATTTAGAATTTATTTTAGTGTTTCGTTTGCGGATCTATTTTCTGTAAAAAAAATTGGTGATAATTAACTTATGGATTAGTGTTTGTGTTTGGATTTTTAGAGTGGGTATATATGATTTGGTTCTTTTTTATTTTCAGGAAGCAGTGGCTACCTTTTTTTGCGCTTTCGTATGTACGGTTCCAGGTGCCTCAGGTATAAAATCTTGAAATTGCTCACCTTAAATACACAATGCGTGCATGTGAAGTTATCATCGAATAATTCAACCTTTTCATTAGTAAAATTAACGTTTAAGTTTGTTTTAATTTAGTTCAAAAATGAATCAACCAACTTTTTATGCCCTTTTGATATGAAATTACAAAGCAATGTTAACTATATTTTGTGTATATTTTTTTTTTCATTCTTTTGAGATGTATTATTCATTTATATCATAGATGATGAAGAATTAAACAAACTTAATACCGCTTTGGATGATAAGTTCATGTTGATGACAAGTACTATTGATGATACTAACTGTTCCTCATCTGCTCTAATGTTGCAGGTATATACATTATGCAACTGTTAATATCCATAACCAATGCAGGTTTTTAAGCACTCACACAGGTTTGTATTTCAGTGAAAAAAATCTAGGAAAAACAAAAGGAGGTTGAACCCATCTACATAGTGAATCGAAAGAAAAATTAAACTCAAGAGCTAGAGAATGAAAACTGGTCTGATGAAAAAAAAGAAATGAACACATATAAGGTTTGTATCTGTGTTTTTCATTTCATGATGATTATTTCATAGTCAGCGTAAATACAGCAATAAACTGAATATAAACTGACTAAACTAAATTTGATATTTTATTTATCTATTTATTTTTATCTGTGTTAAAAATCAATAAAAAAAAAAAGGTCATACCCAGTGCACAAGGCTCCCGCTTTAGCAGGGTCTGGGAGAGGTGAATGTCGGCTAGCCTTACCCCCATTTGTGTTAAAAATCAATAGTATTATGAAATTTCTGTTGGATAAATTGTTGGTTGTTCCAGCGTTTATTTTAAACTTTCTGTAATGACTGTTTACAAATTTACAAAATTTGTATTTAATTTCAGTGGCTTGAATGGAAGATGCAATTCCAACACCTATCAATCAGTTACAACCGTATAAAAAGGCAGTAAAAATTCAAGTCCTGTGTACAATGTGGAGAGCGAGAATTCCAGAAACGATTGATAAATATATAGGCCTGCGCTGTATACTGGTTGATGAAAAGGTGAGCAGTCATTATTTAATGATCTTACGTAATAAACATTTAGTATTGCCCATTGAAAATTTGTTAATTGTTTCAATGCATATGATCTAATGGTTCTGCTTTCTGTAAGAAACACTATCTAGGATCTGTTTATCATCTTTAGACATTGCTTGATTTTGTATTGTCAAATGGTATATATTTTCACTCATTGTGTCTGTATAGTATATAGAATTTTTTTTAATAATAATTTTTATACTTTAAAACAATTTTTTTTAAAGTGTTAATTAAAATGGTTAATTGATACTTACTGTTTGCCTATCCATATTCTTGCTTAGTATTTACCATGCACATGCATATTCATGATATACTAAATATAATGTTCATTCTTATTCACTTATTCGCTTTAACAATATTTTTTTCTTGCATTTTTTCCCATGCTGAATTGCCAACCGACAAGCAATGTAAACTTAAATGAATTTTGTTTCTTCATTGTTAATCTACTGATGCTAGGAATAATTTGAGCTTTTACACTCTTTTGAACATTTTTCATATTTGACTTGCAGGATCAGTGTCGTTGTACACCTTTCCACAACTGTTTGTTCTGTCTTTCTCCCTCCGTGTAATTTTAGTCAAATTGAACTACTTTTTTTTTTAACTTGAGATTTAACTGAAGTGCTAAGAACTTAGTTAAATGAAAGTTTACTTTGGTTTGATGACATTTAGGTGTTCAATGTTGAGTGCATGATTATTAGGTCTACAATCATTGGATACATGATCTTTTATATGTTTTAACCATAATATGTTATAAAATTTTCAATGCTGCAGCAACGCAGGAGTCTGACTTCCCGCAGCAACGCGCGGGTCACACTTTCTAGTTATATTTCTATGTACACCCCAATTTCTTCAAATTTTATAATACTCATTTTTAATTTTGATGGATTGAATCTAAATACCCTGATGTTCCCAGGCTAATTACTTTTGTGATCGACTTGTTTTTCATTTCTAGCTTGAGAGCATATTATCATTAACCGATTTGGACGCTAACACTTATCTTAAATTTTTTTTATCTTTGTGTAGATTGGAAAATCTTATGTCACTTCCAAACTCAAGATCTTATGTAACTTTTCTATAACTAAAGAAATAAAAAAATAAAAAAGAATTATTGAAAGTTTCAAGCTATTGGCATTGCAATTCACAGAGCTGGTTCAAAGGCATAAGTTCTGAAGTTTTTCGACATAGTAAATGTCGGGATGTGATAAAATATGTTGTTGGAGAGAATGATTTCTTGCATTCACAGTGATCAATAGCATTGGCATATTCACAGACATTTTGTTAGGGTTTTCTCAATCAATGTGTTTGTAGTTTAATTAGTTAGGATTTTGTTCAACAATTGAGGGTGGGAGAGTTTTGATAATTGAAGAAGATAAATAATACGTTAAAAGTGATGTGGGGTGTATTTGGAAATTTCTTATTTTTTTTTTAACTTAATAAGGTTAAAATTGTCATTGCATAGTAGAATAAATAAGTAATTTAATATTAAATTTTTTGTGGGGTGCATTCAACAATACGTGGGGTGCTAATAAAAAAAGCCTATTTTTTTTCTTGGCTTATTTTTATCTATGCTCCCTAAAACTCTATTTTAATCTCATTTTGTCCTATGTAACTCAAAAGTCAACATTTTAATTTCTTGAAACTCAAAATTCGTTTCACTTTCACTTGCTCCATTATGCGTCAACATTCAACAACCAGTAGAGAGATGAAAAAAAATAAAAAAGAAATTGATTAGCTTGGCTCATCCAAATCAAACTCACATAAGAAATTAACAGATCTAAGGCAACTTGAAACGAATTTTGAGTTTTATAGAAAGGACTTTCAAATTTTAGAGGGCAAACTGGATCAAAATCAAGTTCCAAAAATAAAGTGAAACGAATTTTGAGTTTCAAAAAATAAAGTTGTGACTTTTAAATTACAAAGAATATATTAAGATTAAAATTAGGTGGAGTAACTTAAAATAAGCCTTTTTCCTCTAGGGAAGTCCACAACTTCCCACGTTGAATTATATTCGAGTGCCTTCGTCTCTTTATCCACCACTTCTTTCCACGTAGGAGCACTCAGGGTGCGTTTGGTACGCAGACGGAACGGAACGGGACGGGACGGGACGGGACGGAACGGGACGGGACGGGACGGAACGAAGGTGTAATTTTTAAAAAAGACATGGGGTATATTTGTCTTAAAATGGTAAAACAGTGTGTTCCACAGACGTGGAACAAACCCGTTCCAGGGGGGGAGGTGGGACGCAAAAACACCCAAAATCTGTCCCGTGGAACAACCCGTTCCACACATTTTTGGCGCACCAAACGCGGGACGGAACGCCTCGTCCCGTTCCATCCCGTCCCGTCCCACGTACCAAACGCACCCTCAAGGCATCATGCACACAGTACTAGAAAGAAACACAACTAAAACCCTTTTTGGGGGTAAGAGATCATCTCCGGATCTCTTTCATCAAAGTCCGCGGATCAAGTGATCCGGGTTCTTGAAATTTGATCAAACCGTTAAAAACAGAGGCTCATTTTAAAAGTTATAATAATTTTAACCGTTGGATCAAATTTCAAGGGTCCGGATCACTTGATCCACAAGCTTTGGTGGAAGAGATCTGGAGAGGATCTCTTTCCATAAAATTGAACCCTTCACATAGTTCACCACTTCTTACCACCAAAAGTGTTTTCGTTCATAAAAGTTGATAATAATCAATATTGCTAAAGCTTTTGATACTTTAAACTGGAATTTTCTTCTCCACATGCTTTCTAGTTTTGGATTTTCTCGTAATTTTGTGGGTTGGGTCCATGTTTTATTACAGTCTGCTCATCTTTCTATTTTGGTAAATGGCACACCGCATGAGTTTTTTTCTTGTTCTCAAGGTGTACGTTAGGGAGACCCTCTTTCCCCACTACTTTTTTTTTTGTTTAGCAAAGGAAGCTCTGAGTAGAGGTTTATCTTTGCTTTTCTCTACTAGACGGATCACTGCTATTTCAGCTCCACGAGGTTGTTGCCCTCCAACTCATGTGTTATATGCTGATGATCTTTTTATTTTTTATCGTAGGAATATTCATTCTCTTCGAAAGTTTTTGGATAAGTATGGTTGTGCATCGGGACAGCTTGTTAATGCAACTAAGAGTACTTTTTATCTCGGCTCCACCTCTGCCCATCACAGAGTGCATGTAGACATCTTGGCTTTTGTATAGGTGTTGTTCCTTTCACTTATCTTGGGGTACCCATTTTTTGTGGTAAGCCAAGGAGAATTCACTTTCAAGCTTTGGTGGATAAGGCTAAAGCTCGTCTTTCAGGTTGGAAAGGTAAACTTCTCTCAATGGCTGGATAACTACAATGGGTGCAATCTGTTTATCAAAGCTGTTTCTCCGTAGCTTCTCAATTTATCAATGGCCTATTTGCCTTTTATAGCATTTTTCTGCTTGTGCATGAAATTTTATTTGATCAGGGGACTTGGCCTCATGAAAGCTAATAACTGTTGATTGGAGTATGATGTGTGGACCTAAGCATGAAGGTGGCTTTGGTCTTTCGGATTTAACTGCTTTGAACTTGACGGCTTTGATTAGTATTGATTGGGATGCTTTACAATCCTCTTCTCTGTGGGGTTCACCCGCTCGTCAACGTTTTCCTCGTGCACCTTATAAAAAACAAGATACCTATTTACGGTCTTCTGTGTGGCATGGGTTGAAGTGTGCTTTGCCTATTCTGAATAATAATAGTTGATGGGTTATTGGTGATGGGAAGTTAGTTTCCTTTTGGATTGACAAATGGTTGGATAGCCCAATTATTGGCCCTTCATTATCTTCGATCATTGCACCTACAGTTCTTCCTAGGGTTTCAAATGTTATTGAAGCTCAAAGTTGGTATTTGCCAAATTATTTTGTAGATTTATTCCCTTTTGTAGTGCATCAAATTCTACGTTTACTTTTTGCCTTTAAATATAGAGGATGAAAAATTGATCTGGGAGCCTACATCTACTGGGAAATTTTCTTTTTCTTCTAGCTATCATCTTGTTCGACGAAAACGTAGTGATTGTGCTTGAGCATAGGTTATTTAGCGACATTTGATCGCACCTTGACTGTCTATTTTAGCTTGGCGGCTTCTTCATGAAAAATTTCCTATTGAAAGTGCACTTCAACAACGTGGTATTTCTTTGGCATCCATTTGTTGTCATGTCATAATTCTGAGGTATATACTATTCATCTTTTCTTCGGTTGTCGGATATCTAGGCAGCTTTGGAGGTGGTTAGCATGTTAATTTGGTACCTCTTTGTCTTTTTCAGATTCTCTGGTTTCTTTTTGGGATACCTATGGACGTAAGTCCTTTTCCCAACAGCTACAAAATCTCTAGATTTTTGCACGTCTTTATACCATTTCGGCTATTTGGAAAGCTCAAAGTAAGTTTATTTTTTAGGGTCGCCCAATCTCTTTTTTGTTGTCTTTGCATGTCTATCAATTCTGGGATCATTCATAGTGGGAAATTTATTCTTATTTATTCTCAAGGTTTTCATACTCGTATCATTTTTTCTTTGGGGATCCAACCTATCCCTCGCAAAGCACCAACTATTTTTCCTATGTTGTGGTCTTCTTCTTGGTTTCCTTGGATTAAACTTAATGCAGATGGTTTGTCCAAAGGAAATCTTGGTCTTGCAGCTTGTGGGCGAGTTTTCAGGGACTGTCATGGTCAATTTCTTAGTAACTTTTGCCAAGGGATTAGTCATCGCAACTCTTTCTTTGTAGAATTATTAGCAATTATTAGTGGTGTAGAGTTTGCATATCAGTGGGTTTGACATTGCCTTTGGTTGGAAAGTGACTCTTCTAGTGTTATTTTTGCTCTCCAATTGACTGATTTTGATCCTCCTTGGCCTCTTCGTACACATTGGTCTAATTGTTTGGATCGCATCCGGAAGATGACTTTCTATGCCTTTCACATATATTGCGAAGAAAATGTTGTTGTAGACAATTTTGCTAACATGGGCTCTTGTCTTCTCCAACCTTAGTATGGCATGATTCCCCTCCATTGGTGGCTCGTGCTACTTTGTTTTCAAACTATGTTGGCTTTCCTGGTTACCACTTCTCTAATTAATTTGCATATCGGCATACAAGTTTGACTCACTTTCTTGTTTTTTTTTCTTAACCTTGTGATGTTGCTTAATCTATTTTGCAGGTTTAGACTTTTAAGTTTGGTTTTAGAGAGGTTACGTTTTATGCCCCCTCCCCCCTTTTGGCGTTTCTAGAAATGTAAAGTTTATGTTTCTCCTTCTTTTTCATGTATTTTCTATCCATTTTTCTTGTATTATGAGAGGTTAGTTAGACTATGTGTAACTTCTTTTTCGTTATCAATAACGTTCCCCTCATACGATCCAGATTTCTTTAAAAAAATGAAGAAAAAAAAAAGGCACCACTTAGTTAACTAAATAAATTTTTAAGCACGTAAATATATTGAGTTAACACATATGGATTGTGCCGACCACCAGAAGCTTCAATAACCTGCATCTAGATGAAGAGCAAAATGTTGGATAGTGGCCAAAATTAGTGGCCAACTTGTAAATACCTTTTGATTAAATAAAAGAAAAGAAAAGGTGGACAACATCATTGTGTCCCTTCCTTGTTTTGGAGAAAAGAAAAAGGCAACTTGTCTAAAGTCCTTTTTATTTGGCTCTTTGTGAAAGCCACGGGATAGTGGCTAGGTTTTAATTAGGGCAGCAGCTGC